GCATAAGTGAGTTTCAAGGAGGGTCAGGCCTCTGCTATATCATATTCTTTTGGTGGGAGTGCCGATGAAGGACGCTACCGTCCTGCACTGTCGCGGTTCGAATCCCGCTGAGTGTGTTGATAAGACCAATGCGAGGTCAAAACTGCAGTCCACTTCAGCCTGGATGAGAACAACTTTTGGGAAAGCAAGGCTATGTGAAATTCAATGGAAACGTCGGCAGTCCACCCAGGATGAGAACAACTTTTGGGAAAGCAAGGCTATGTGAAATTCAATGGAAAAGTCAGCACCCAAAAGGTGTTCTCATCCAGGGTGTTGGGAAAGCAAGGCAATTTGAAATTGAATGGAAACGTCAGCTCTAATTCATATCATTGTGGGAAAATTCTACTACCAGTCCTTCATCACCTTACACGAAATAGGGTGAATACATCTCATCACACTGATAATCATTGTGGGAAAATTCTACTACCAGTCCTTCATCACCTTACACGAAATAGGGTGAATACATCTCATTAAACCGATTTACTGGTAGTCTCGAAACCCTACTCTAATCAAATGAACAGTCTTGAAGATGGACTCGCCCTATTCCATGGCAACATTTTTACCCTTCATGTATTAAGTCACCCGAAGGGGATTAGTTAATCGGTATTATCTTCAGGAATCGAAAGTGATGATGACGTTCGCTGTGATTGTTGGCTTCCCCTTTGTGTCACAGCGTTTGGTGAAATGTCCCACTCGGAAGAGTTCTGTCGCGGTGAGACAGACGAACGGTAGGCATGGATTTATTGCGGTGTAGGTACGGTGCCTTATAAAACAAAATGAAGATTACAAAAATAAAAAAAGTATCAAGCTAGTCTTTCGAAACCAGCATCTCTTCACACAACAGAATTGGCGACGGCTGTTGTGATTGTTGATTTGTGCTAAGCTGTATCAGCAAGCGAATCTAGGCCATTCTCGCGTGGCTCTCGTTTGACTCTCGCTGACGGACAGAATGTCTTCTCTCTGAATGTGGTCTTCGGGAGTCCTCTTTTTGCCCTCCAGACTACGCTGATGCCAGTCTGTCACGATACTAACGGACACTATTCACTCTAAACTTTGGCTGATTTTAACGTCTTCACCATTTGATTGAATGAGGCTGGGTTTACAATGGCATGAAGAAAAAGTTTATCAAACTCGAGTTTGCATTTGGCCGGAGAACAGATTGCCCCGCATATAAACAGACGTATTCAGGGCCTGGGTCTGCCCTGTTGTATGACCCACTCATCCTTAAGGCCAAACTCGCCCATACGCACAGGCATGCGCACACAAAGTGTGTGTTTGTATGTGTGTGCCTACGAATGTGTGGTAGCTGTAGCGAGGAGTGGAGGCAAAGCGCAAAGGGTATGCAGATTGCAGCTTTAAATCTTGCTTAATTTATAAAAATCACACTTAGCCGTTCAGCTTCCGCTAAACTGTCTGTATCACTTGTTGGCCCTCCGACGTTAGGCTGCGCCCAAAGAGCGCATGGAACAGTTCTACCCACCTTCATTTGCTTCTGTTCCGGTGTACTTTGGGCCTGGCCAGCCCAGTTTCGTCTCCTCAAAATGTCCCGAGGACAAAGAAGTGTGACCTTTTAATGTGAAAATAAACAAATTTCATATCACCTTTGGATAAGCCTTCGCAACGGTGATGAAGTGGGCTGTCCTTCACGATTAGATGATGGTGTCATTTGTTGGTTATGCGAAAAAAGTGTCCAATTCTGGCGTCATAACCGGAGTTGGACTCGCTTGTATGGCTGCCAACTCATGACGGACGGTTGAGCTGGGCATTTCTATGAAGCATTATTGTGAGCAAAATGTACCCAATTTGTGTGTAATTAAGGCTGTAGCATGACTTTCATTTCGAAGGAAAAGTTGGTTTAGAAAAAGTCGTCAATCGTTCTCACGAGAAAACGAAAGAGCAACAAAATCTGCTGGATTGTGTGAAGACGTCCTTGGTTCACTCTCCTGCCATTCAAATCAACCCGGCCTAAGCTTGTGTGTGTCATCCTTTCATTCAACTGCTTCAGATGATACCCGTTTATCTTTCTCTGAATTGTTTGTTTAAACCAAAATTCTAAAACGAATACATGAAGACCAGGATGGTGTGGTCTTTTGTATGGTCAAGGTCTCCTTTCGTTATATAGAAATTGTTTGACCTTGCTTTCCCAACTTGGTCATATTGACAGGAAGACCTAGAGGAACGCACCTAAACAAACAAAATTTAAATTTAAACAACATTAAATTATTTTTTAGAATTAAGTATTATTTTTTGTGACTACCAGTAAATCAGTTATAAGATGTATTCACCCAATTTCGTTTAAGGTGATGTGCAATTCAATGGAAACATCAACTCAACTCATATCATTGTGGGAAAATTCTTATTCTACCAGTCCTTCATCACCTTAAACGAAATCGGGTGCATACATCTTATAACTGATTTGTTGGGTAGTCACGAAAAATAATACTTAATTCGAAAAAATAAAGTATAGTAGTCGATTGTTATAGCAAAACATACA